GAGAGTAACTTGAAACTAAAAATGAATTCTCAAACAATACCAATCCCCGTTGTGTTTCATAACTTTAGAGGATACGATTCACATCTCATTATGCAAGCTATCTCAAAGACCGACGGCGGCTTAACGTGTATTCCTAATAATATGGAAAAATATATATCGTTCTCGTTGACTAAAACTATATATTATACGGACAAGGATGGGAAAGCCAGAATAAAGCAAAGTAATGGGCTTAGATTCATAGACTCTGTACAGTTTCTGTTATCTTCCCTGGACAATTTAGCTAATGCGAACAATCCCGATGACTTTGCGATAACAAATCAATATACCGATAGGTGCCGTCATTTGTTGCTGAGAAAAGGTGTATATCCTTACGAATATATGGATGATTGGTCTAGATTAAACGAAACTAAATTACCGCCCCTTGAATCATTCTATAGTAACTTAACAGAATCTAAAATAACAGATGCCGATTATGAACATGCTCTGACGCTGTGGGATAAATTAGGTTGTAAGAATTTAGGCGATTATTACGATCTGTACTTAAAAACCGATGATCTGTTACTCGCCGATATATTCGAGATATACGGCTTGGACCCGGCATGGTACTATTCCAGTCCCGGACTATTATGGGATGCATTGTTGAAGAAGACCGGCGTAGAACTAAAACTACTCACCGATTATGATATGCACTTGTTTATTGAGAAAGGATTAAGAGGTGGTATATCAATGGTAGCGAAAAGGTATTCAAAGGCTAATAATACATTTGTGGAAGGATATGATCCGAGTAAACCCGATACGCATATATGATATCTCAACGCCAACAATTTGTACGGATGGGCTATGAGTCAAGCTTTACCCAAGGATGGTTTTGAGTGGGTCGATGATATCGAAGTGAATGATATCCCCTCAGATTCTGATAAAGGATACATACTAGAAGTTGACTTGGAATATCCAAATTCGTTACATAAAGATCATAACAGTTATCCGCTAGCTCCCGAGAGATTAATGGTGAATAAAGATTGGATGTCGGAATATCAACACTCCTTGATGGGTAATACAGATTTAAGAAAGATCGCTACCAGCGATTTTGAAAAGAATCTATATAAGCTCATGAATTACTCAGTATTTGGTAAAACTATGGAGAATCTAAGGAAGCGTTTTGATGTTAAATTAGTCAGATCTAATGAGGAAGAAAGACTCAGGAAACTTATAGCCAGTCCGGCTTTTAACAGAAGCAAGATATTCGATAACGACTTAGCCGCGTTGCATATGCAGAAGAGTAATATAAAATTCAACAGACCGGTGTACGTCGGTATGAGTATTCTTGACTTGTCAAAACACTTAATGTATGACTTTTATTACAACGAACTTAAGAAGCAATACGGCGATAGATGCGAGGTGTTATATACCGACACAGATTCTTTGTTGATGGAAATACAAACCGAGGATGTGTATAAAGATATGGCAGAAAAAATAGATATGTACGACACGAGCGATTACCCAAAAGATAATCCACTGCACAGCGTAGTAAATAAAAAGGTGTTAGGTAAGATGAAGGATGAATGTGCTGGGACTCCTATAGTGGAGTATGTCGGATTAAGACCTAAGATGTATTCTATAAAGAAGTCTGATAATGGAGAGATAAGAAAAGCTAAGGGTGTTAAGAAATGTGGTAAAAAAGCATATCAAACACGAACAGTATAAAGAAGCATTATTCAAGGGTAAAACATTCAAACACGAGATGAACTCTTTAAGAAGTTACAATCATAGGATATATGGATTAAGAATGAACAAGACATCATTATCCCCCTTAGATACAAAGAGATGGATTGATAAGGATGGTGTAACTACCTATGCTTATGGTTATTTAGGGTGGTAATACTGTATCATCGGGAACTATGAGCAACTCTTCTTGTACAAATGCCCTGCCCGGTCCATCTTTAAGATAATAAAGAATAGGCTCTCCTTCTTTCATAACCAATCGACTAATGTTATATGTCTTAAGGGACCAAATCGGATCGGTTGCGCGACGTAGGCCTCCTTCGAGTTTACCGGGCTGGTATAAATATCTTACGCTTACTCTATCCGGAAGTTTTCGTTCTTTGCCTCTCCTTGGTGCTGAAGATTCGGAAATCACAGATTTCATTTTAATCGCATCGGATGGTTTCTTCCCGATTAATCTTGTTACTTCATTATTCAGCGCTGATACAACAGCTGATAATCGTGTCACCCATTCAGTTGATCTCAATCGTTCCGATTTCATTTCGATCTCATACTGATAGCCAAACAAACGTTCCGCTAATGTCCGGTTAAATCTTTTGACGATAGCTTGACTACGGTGGGCCTCTTTTTCACCTCTGATTTCGACATCGTGCTTTGTTAACAGTTTAGTTACCGATCCCATAAACTCGCGACCAGGATCTACTTGAAATAGCTTAGGCCATTTTTTAGTGGTCCGCGTTTATATATGCGACTCAGTGCATTAGCTACTTCTGTTGAATCTTTTGAGGTTAATGGCTCAGCCTCTTTGTATCGACTAGCCACATCCACTACGGTTAAAGCGTATTTTTACGTTTTGCGTCTTACCTTATCATGGGGAAGAAACAAGAGGTCAGCCTGATGAACTTCATTCGTTGTAAAAATATCAAACTTCTTCCTCGGTATATAACGCGGTGCTGGTAAGTATATTTGCCACATCGCTTGTTTCTTTAACCAATCCTTGGCCACATCTTTAGATACCTTAGCCGCGGTGGCTAATTTTTTTATTGCTCCTATACCTTTCCAATATCCTCGTGGGCTATAGTAAATTTTATTCATTATTTAGGAGATAAACATACTGTGTTTTCAATGTAGAGCTAGGTTACCTGTAGATTTAATCCCGCTAAATTGAATTTGGAACCGAACGCGCACCCCTTCTACCATGACTAAATAAAACGTGAACTCTTTGGTGTAAGCAAATATACTGAGTGAAGCGGCATGGGTTGAGTTCAGTGTTTTGAGTGGGCTATCGATCTGAATTACGGAATCAACGAACAAATATGGTGCTGTATATACTCAAGCAGTTTGTTTAAACCGTAAAACTTCACTCGAACTTATGACAGGCATTGAAAGCATATAAGCACGGCAACTAACATGAGGTGGGCATCCCTAAAGAAAACAAAGCAAGCTTTGCAAGGCTTTCGCTCTACTTCTCGCGTCACCATTATGACGTCATATCGCTCATTGTGACGCAAAAGATATGACGTCACAGTCCTATATAGAAAAGCGCCAAAATTTCAAGCTCTCTGTTGTCTCCAAAACGTAAATACATTCCCTTTGTTGATTTCTGTCGTGTTTTTCTGCACGAAATGTATTGCCACACATCTTTTGAATATTGTAGTAACCGCATCTGTGCATTCTGTAACCTGTAATTGTAGATATAGTTATTTAAATATGCCTACCGACAATGACTGAAAATAGTACTATTCTATGAATATTAGCTTCCGCGGTGATGCGGCCGTCAAACCAGCTGTTTCAATCAGAGGGGGTTTATTGTGATTTAATAGCCTCTGATTGACCAATCAGAATCGAGTAAATTCCAAATTCATGGTAGAATAATTAATATTGATGTTTCTTTTAATACGAGTTATGACTATCGTTAAATCGCATCAGCGTTTACACATAAAAAATTCCCCCTGTAGTGGTGGTATAGGTATATAAATCTGGCTCCAGTGGAAGTGGTCCAGAATTACCATTACCTATACTACTTGAGTAGTGTTTATCATCCAGTTGATGAGAGGCAGCAATAATTTTTCATCCGTCTTAGCGTGTGTAATGACAAATGACATTGTCAGTACATGAAGGCCAAGGCAGAGTGTTGAATGCAGGAGCAATGGGCGATGTGTCGGTGAACTCTGGGCATTCAGGCCTGTAGTGTGACGTTTCAGGTGCTGTAGGTAGCTGTAAGTTTGGCAGCAGATGATAATTTCCGTTATCAATTTCAAAAATGTGTAAACCAACAGACACTTCCTCCTCTGGCAATCGGCGCAAGATCAGAGTAGAGATTCATAGCCACCATGTCTGTAGCCTGTTGTTGCTATTCAAGCATGCATGAGCCAGGGTCGTGTGGAGAAGTATCCCTGCCAGACTGCCATAGTCCTGTTAATCCAATGCAAGACAAGATGTAACGGATGGCCTTTGCTGAGGGTAGGCACTGTTTCATGTCTGACCTCAGCGGCACAAGTTCCGGCTGCATTTCGGATATCCTTCTGTTGGTTTGCTTGTGGTAATTACCCATCAAACTGGCAAGGAGGAGTCCTGTTATGCAGGGACAAGCATGGCTCATACTGATGAGATCAAGCAACCCACGTTGATTACAATCCATATGTGGGAGAGAGACATGGTCCAAAGATATATGTGTTGAAAGACACGACCTATCATTGCAAGGTGGATACACGTATATTGTCAGACATTTTTTTACAAACACTGATCCATCATGGCCTTGAGTGAAGGTGATATATGCCTTGCGTTGATCGCATGAACTGCTGGATCATGCTGACGATGATGGCAGAGTCGGGGACACCATGCATAACCATGACACAGGTTTCTAGAAGAGGACTTGGTTGATGACTTCCCCGAGAACCACATCTTCAGTGAAGATGCAGGCAATTACTGATTATTCCAAGCTGCCCAGAGGATGATAAATGATAAAATAGAAGGCTTCAGCACCATCTGGATGAGAGTGTGCAGAGCTCTGCTTGACAGAGGATACACTGGAAATGTGGTGTGGCTACATCCCAGGTAGACGGTTGGGGGTCAGTCCATGGTCCCAAAATATGTCTGAAATACTACCAATTTGATTTGAATGTGCCAGATAAGTACAACGTATGTACAAGTTTTCTTTACGTTTACCACTTTGGTGAAACCCACGAGCACAGGTATGGTGCTGACAAAGCTCGAAACCGGAATTCGAACCCACAGTCATATCACTATTGCATTGATATTATGACTTGCTATTTCAGTCAAATGAGAGCCGTGACTCTTCTCCATCATTGTCTATTACTGAAGTGGTAGTGAGGAGGAGAATCAAATGTGACAAGCAAACACCTGACATGAACCTGCATTTTAACACAGGTTAGTTTGGTAGGGGAGGGACAGTGAATTAAGACATTAAAGTTCAGGTAAACAAATTATGACTTACATGACACCTACCCAGTGATTGAAATTAAGGATTAATTTCACAATGATCCTCATGTTAAAGAATAAGAGGGTCTTTTGATTATAATAGTATTGCTAAAACCTTCAAGGCATCCAACTCTACCTAACAATACCATCCTATTTTATCACTTTAACACACAAGTATACTTCTTACTACACTTTATGGTCTTATTTTATTCCTGTACTTTGTGCATAGGCGGATTAGAGACATTTGCAAGAAATCAACAACTACCAATCTATGATATACTGAGTACACCAACCATCAATGCTGACAGTAAACACAACAACCCAACATTCTGGACATATCAACACAGTTTGGTGAGTAAAGTTTTGGGGATGTTTACAGCTCCTGTGTGGCTGCTTGTAACTGCTTGTGACTTCCATCATTCTCCTAATGCTAGTCCATGGAGATGACATGCCACAGTATAACATGAATACCCTACACAGTTTACTGACTGGCCTGTCACTGTTGTAATGCCAAGCTCCCAGGCAGGGTAACAACATGTACCACCTTTAATGTCTTTTGGTATGATGCAGCTATCATGGAATGACCTTCAGTCCGTGTATACCAATCACAAAGGGTCCATCTGTCAAGCTGAAATTGGGAACAGCTTTGGATTTCCACACAGATTAGACGGAGGGTCTGTAGAAGGGAACAAACCAACTATTAATTTGTTTTCTGCTCATGTTTGTCCATTTTCTGTGATCAGGGGATATGCTGACAGTCTTGCGTTTCCTCCCCATTCTCGCCTTTGGTCTTACATCACCAAGCACAACCTCTGAGTCATGCTTTATCTGACACTTAACAAGCCATTAAGAAATGAGGAGTAACAAGATATGTGTACCTGTATGATATAGAGTTTAAATCCTGTTTCCAAATTAATAGATGTGACACAAAAGAATGGTCATGCTTAAAAGAAAGTGCGACATAAATATGAAATATCAATGCTGCAGTCTCGATGACATACAACTAGTTTCATATTATGGATTTTAGGAGTGAGTTGGGTTTAACGCCGCCTTTAACAGTATTCCAGTTATATTGCGGCGTGTCAGCTTAATGTGGGAGGAAAGCCCGAAGTGATGCAGGTCCTAGACGTTTACCACTTTGGTGAAACCCACAATTTTAGGAGTATATTTAACCATGGTGCCAGGATGATCATGACAATTTTCTTCACAAATTGCATCGATGTGAAGAATCCAATCCAGTGAAATATATCTTCCAGAATGTGTTGTTTTTTTCATGAAAAGATACTACTATATATTTTCAGAGAACAGCACCGCCCATGAGAAGAGCTGGGAAGCGAAGACTTTGTGATACCCAGATGGATGACAATGTTATACAGTGCTTACGTAATCAAACTAAACAACTATGCTGATGTTGGTAGATATGCAGTCTGTGACTATAGATACAAGACTCCAGCCAGAGTAAGCACAGACTTAAATATGTCTGCTAACATACACTGAACATTTCTAGTATTGTTCTGTTCGATCAAGTAGGCAAAGCCAAATAAGTTCCAAATAATATTACAAACTTCTGAAAATGATACTTAAAACTGAGTTTGGGCTTGAAGACTCAAATGTTTTTGTCACAGACTGGACATGAAGTAAAAACTGCCCTCATGCATTTGCAGAGCTACAAAATACATTTTGTGAATAAGTCAAAGTATTAATAACTTTGCCCATATTTGGATGTTTGTTTGTTGTTCAATGTCGCACTGAGCAATATTCCAGCTACGTGACAGCGGTCTGTAAGAAATCGAGTCAACGTGAGCATCGATCCACACAATTGGGATCGATGACATGCTTCAACCAAGTCAGTGAGCATGACCACCCGATCCCGTTTGTCGCATCTTACGACAAGCATAGTCACCTTTTACGGCAGACATGGGTTGCTGAAGATATACTCTACCCCGGATCTTCACGGGCCACTTTGCCCATGTGTAACAAAGGGATTACAAGCATTTTCTCATTGAGGAGCTGAAAACAAAACCAGCATATGTCTTTGATGATTGATAATTTTTGTCAACTGTTTTGTTGTTGCAATATTTGGGGCATTCAGGGGACTATTGGTGGATCTGCTTTGGGCAAAATCAGATCTGAGCTCTCGCTACCACTAAACAAAGATCTGAGTACAGTCCATTACAGGTCACGTCAGAATGACCTTTCATCCGACCAATCAAAACATTAATTACAAAATTGAGAAGACCAGGGGTAGAATAGGTCTTCAGCAACCCATGCCTGCCGTAAAAGGCGACTATGCTTGTCATAAGAGGTGACTAACAGGATTTGGTGGTCAGGCCTGCTTACTTGGTTAATGCATGTCATCGTATCCCAATTGGGTGGATCGATGCTCATGATATTAATCACTGGATTGTCTGGTCCAGACGAGATCATTTACAGACCGCCGTCATATAGCTGGAATATTGCTAAGTGCGGCGTTAAACAACAAACAGCAACAGTCAGAATATGTTTTCTAATCATTCAACCTGGAAAAGGTTTACAACGGCTATTCCAAATGAGTTATGGGCTGTACGACTAATTGCATCAAAATCACCGTTGATCTCTCACTCCAATGGGACAAACATTTGAAACGGAAGAGACTTTCCATAGCTTCTGGGAAGTACTGTTATACAATCTTTGTCATCTATTAGATTTTCCAGAATGTTCTTTTTATGAGTCATAAAATTTTGAATCAAGAAATTTGTCAAAATAGTTTTCAAAGTGTAGTCTTGAATGGAAGTTACCAGTTTTAAACTAGTGCCGTAACTCTGAAGAAAGCTGCTTTCTGATTGGCTAATGTTGACATCTTGTTGGTCATTTCATTGGTCAGTCATAGTTTGCGAAAGGTCGTTCAGAAAACCGGACTGTAATGGGATGTCCTCAGATCCACACCCTTGCAGTCGCGAGCACAAAGATCTTGATTTTGATGAGGTTCTGCTTCAAGTTATATATATATTAAATACAAACATCTTTCTAAATGACATTTTATTGTTATTGTTGATGCTTTTTATGATTGTGCTGTATGCAAAGCCTCATGCATCATACTGTTATGTTATTTCTTATAAATAAAGCCATAGTTTTGTTGTTGCAATTGAAAGATTCTCCTTCTCACTTTTTCTGCGCAAATATGGATGTATTTTGGAATATTCTTTATGTCTCAGAAGTAATTTTGCTGATTATCTAGTGAATTAAATGGTTTCTTACATGTCACTTTGTTTCAGATTACATACATGGTTATACATTTAAACAACAATACATGTGGGTTCTCAAGAAGTGGCCGCATCATGGTGTATTCCAAGTTCAAAGGCTCTGACAGTGCTTTGCAGAAATACACATTTTGAGTTACGTCATAATGGGCTGATGTCATAATGCTTTTCAAATTACCCCCGTGATCTAACGTATCCTTGGTAACATTGTTCTATAATTCCTGTCAAATAAGATGGCACATCAATTATCGATTGGTAAAATAGTTTCTTACATGGAGGCTGATAACACATATGGCATTGACAATTATGAGAAGGTATCAAACATGGTGACAATTGCACTGTTGGTCTTTCTCCATGTTCACCCACTGCGGTGCCATTTCATGTCATGTCATGTCACCTTGCCCCAAGACATGAATTCATGTTAGTTGCAATTGACGGGTACAGTATCCTATAACAAGCTACTATTAGTGGTAGAAACCAATGTTCATCCACAACGATGCCATTTCACATAATCCTTGCCCCAAGACATGAATTCATGTTAGTTGCAATTGACGGGGACACTATCCTACAGCCTGCTTCTGTTACTGGTAGAAACCAATGTTTATCCACAACGATGCCATTCCAAGTCGTTGAAATTTGTTTGCTTTGAGATTAATTACATTTGCATGATGTTTAAGAGAAAGTTTTCAATCTGATCTAAATCCAGTTGTTTCAATAACTAGCAAAATTTATAGTTAATATTACAAATCTATGTAGCATGTCAATGACTATCTCATTTCTTCAATGAATATTTTTAAAAATAGAGCTGTAGCTCACCTGAATATGTCATCAACAATTCAAAATGTAAAAAAAAGAATGAGTTAGGCTTAACACTATTTTGACCTATGAGTCGGTAACATCACAGCATGTCAGCTTAATATTGGAAGATGCAGGTCTTAGAAGTTAACAAAAAAGCTTTGGTGTGTGCTGGCAAATCAAGTTTGGGGTTGCAACCAACAAACAGGAGGATTCTAACACAGCATGATAGTACCTCAGACTACTGTCCAACTATTGTGCTTCCATATCAACAAAAAGAGATGCTTTTAATAAGTACCATTGATATTCAAATATCTTTTGCATAAGCAATGAGAACTCATCGACACTACATGCCAAGTTGATGCGTAACAAATATCTAATGTATGCAGTTGGGTTGCCTTTATCAGAGGTAAATTGGTGGTGACAGGTGATTTGTGAATAGTTTATGAATAGGGATTACATAGAATTTTTGTTGGATTTTTTTCTTCCTATCACTGCCTTTCTGTGAAGGTGGAGCCAGATATTTTCTTTCAGGAGATATAGTAACATTTTAGTTGTAACATTATTTTCAGGAACAAATTTTCTTTTCAAAAAAATCCCAGGACATCCCAGCATGTTTTTATAATCCCATTTGTAGCAATGTATGCTTCCTCAATGAGACAATCATGAACTTGACTATTGACAGACTAGGGCTAATAACCCAACTAAAATAGCCTTGAAAATGACAGTTGAAACCCTTGAAAAAGCCTTAGATTTTAATGGTCCACATCTGTATGAGCCTTGTGTAAAGTTGATGACAACAATGGTTGATGGACAAACAGGTCATGGCATAAGCTCACTTAACATTCTGCAGTTTAGCATGACAATGACAAGATAGACAATATTGCCTTGGATAATCAGTTTTATTCCTATAAAGGACTCACAAATTTGTTTTATTATAATACATAACTGCGTGGATAAGTACCGGTAATAGATTCACAAAGATTTCAACCTCTATACAAAAGTTAACTGTAAGGCATTATTTGCACCTTGAAAATGAGATGCATTAATACAATTATCATCTTAGGCATCCCCAGTAATGACTGCATTTGAATAAACTTTTGAAATATTTATGTAAAGTAAGAATGAAATTACTGCATATTTTAGTTGAGTGTAAGATACTAACCCACTGAAAGCAATACAATATATTATTGTGCGAACATCCAGAAATATGACAACAAAGTTTCATTGGTCAAATTTGCCTACACGAAAGAAAGTAACATGTAGGGTTTATTGAAAGATTGGTGACATTATTGACATACCTTTAAAGTCATCCATCATGGGATGTTCAATTGATGACATTTTCTCACACAATCAAGCCTATGTAAAGGAAGTGCATATACAATGTATTGAAAACATACAGGTATGTGACTGCTGTGTCATATCATAAGATAGGACTCTTATTATACATCATATAATTTTTGTGTTTTGTTCAATCACAGCCTAGACTTTGAAAAATATCAGTTAAATACAAGACTGGTATCACTTGAAAGTTAATTTGATAAAAGCACTACATTGTCTTGAGTATTATATGTACAATTTTCAATACAATGATACATGTTGAAGATTCACATACAAAGAATCTGATAAACAGCAAGAACAAGATTCTGATTTGCCTAATTCAACCAGAAACCAATATTTTCTGACAAAGGGAAATTTGCAATTTACAATATTATTTGTCATTATATGAAAAAAAAAATGAATAAAAGACCTGTACTGTAAACATAGATATTTCATGAGTCACTTCTTGGCTGTCTGATGAAAGCGTTTTGTACACTGTATGGCTTGGTCCTCCTTGGAGAGCAGACGTGTTCGTCTCACTGGTGACCAGCGAGACACTTGTTGCTTCGGAATATCAGGTGTGTGCTGCACTAGGGGTCGACGGGTCTGCAATACAAAACACATGCACAAATTTGGAGCCGAGTTCATAATGACATCTAACAACGTCATAAAAATTGTGTATGGAAGAAAATGATTTCAACCATGACATCTTAGAATCCTGCATTCTAGATCAAGATTATGACTGCATCACAGCATAGGAAAATATACTTTGAAATCACTTATTTCTCAAAACCATATTTTTTTCTCAAACCTGATCGTAGGCAATTTCAAATACTGATTTTAATGTTGCGAAACACGGTCAGTGTTCCTGTTTACTGGTAATTACCGTTTTTTTACCAGTAAAATTAGTCTTGGACCAGTAATTCACGTGACTGCAAATCCCTGTGGACTGGCAAATAAGGTATCTTGTAAATTTTTGTTGTTGAACAAAACGTCGATAGTAAAAAAAGTATACTTTTCGAACGAAGTCAGCTAGCCTGTTGTCATCAGGGTTTCCCATTGTTAATTTTTAGTGCAAGGAAATAATATTTCGCTTTGCTTCGAGGTTAAATATCTAGTCGTAGTGACTTAGTCTTGTATCAAAGTCAAATATTCAGAAAAATAATAAAATCTAAATATTTTTTACATCTGTATACTTATTCTGCATTACTCCTTAATGCATCTTCTGCTTACCTTATGACAGAAACAGCGCAGTGCGATGGTTCTAAGCTGAAGAAAAAGTTGTTTCCAACCGATCTACATGTCTGAGGACCAACTTGCACAGCTGTCACGTGATTGCCGGAAGTGACATCACGGGTCACCACATTTCTGCTTGTCACCCATAATTATTTTCTGAAGCTATAGTAGGGAGGCTGGTCTGTGACGGTTGGGCCCTTAGATGTAGTAATGCAAGATAAGTATACAAATTTAAAACATCTTTTACTTATCCTGGATTACTCCATAATGCACCTGTATCAGACAATACAGCGGTGGGCATACCTTCAGATGTAATCCTTAATATAGATAGGGGGCGGTTGGTTACCTGCTGGGCTATAACCATGAGGGCCAAAGCAATGAACACCTTCAACATCTTCAAGATAATGGCTAGCTACAGCCAAGAGGAAAATTGTCTTCTTGGTGAGGTTGAAAAAGGATGTTGCGTGGAGGGGTTTCGGACAGAAGCCCGCAAAAAAACCACCAAAAAAACCCATTCAAATCCCAAGTAGGGGGACTAAATTTGGCCTTCTGATCCTCAAGTCTGAATGGACGTAGGAGGGCCTGGTCATCATACGATTCTTGGAATGCCCAATGCTGAATGAGAGCCACCAAGTATGTTGTAATGGTGCTGCATTTCAAGTGTCATTTAGTATGCAAATATAGGAGGTACTCGGCCAAGAATTGAGGTGACGCTGTAGTGGGATCTTGATTTCTCACCTTACAAAAAGTTTCAAATGATCGCCATTTATCATCATATAGCCCCCGGGTAGATGGACGGTGTGCCAAGGCTATGGCCTTAGCTGCCCGAGCCAAATGGCCCTTAGTGCTCAGAGCTCTTTTAAGACAAACCAAGCGTGCAGACAAAATCTGCCTGGCATTGGGTGTGGTAGTTTGCTGTGAGAGTTGCATCCACCAGAATGTTGCTACATCCGAGGATATGCTGGACTATATCTTGTTGATCCACCAGATGTTAGAAATGAAACATCTGTTGAAGCAGGGAGTGAGAGTGATTTGCCCTTGGGTGCGCAGGCACAAAACCACCATGGTGTTGAGTGTTCCATAGGCACTCCTGCCAATGTGATATTGCCAGAATGAGAACCTAAGGAGATGCCTCCTAAGACGTTCAACTATCGTCCACCACCTGAGGTGTGTCCTCAGGTGAGATGGCTACATACGGGTCCTGATGTTTGATGTAATGTGCCAGGAACTGTTGTATTGGGCATAGGTGCAGAGGAACTTTAGTATTGGGTGTAGGTGAAGACAACCTCTGCTTGTCAAATCCTTGGCTGATGTGACCAATCCCACTTGCCACTGGTGAAGTATGCGGGATTGTTGAAGGGCAGGTGACAGATGGCACAATATCTTAAGCCATCTGTCCCATGGCACTGTCAGGAGGTGCCTGTCTGTCTGGAACAGGCCGACTATAAACTGGATTGAATCGTTTTCATTGACCACCCATTCCAGTTGATAAAGTTGGCACCTGGTAAAGACCCGATGGAGAACCAGGGTAGCCGTGTCTATGTACGACTCAAACCGAATGTCCATCCAGTGTAGATGTATTGGCTCGGTGAGTCGTGTAAACAGCCACAGGGCCACTGAAAGGCCAATGACAATGCCAATGACAATGCCAATGCCAGTGCCAATGCACTGAAACCTGAGGAACCTGCGGTCTGAGGGATGGATAGGTAGATGCAGGTACGCATCCTGCAGGTTGAGACTGATCAGGGAAATGTGAGCGTTGATACTGGTCCTGAGCAGTCCTAATGTTGTGAGGCGTAAGTATATAAGCTTCAGGTCGCGCTTGTTGAGTACAGGGAAGATGGGAGAGTAGCAGCCTGGGGGCATGTAGTCTCTCTTCTTCAACAGGATATCTCTATTGGAGCCCAATGGCTGATGGTGCTTTCAGGGGTAGACCCAAGGTGGAAGAGCCGTGATCAGCGGAGGGTCCATGGCAAGGTCTAGGCGGTACCCCTGATGCAGTACATTTAGTTTGAAAGGGTCTGCCAAGCCATAAGAGTTCTGTCAGAAATGGCCCACCCTTCGACCTATGGGTATGTCGACGATTGGGATGACTCATGGTTTCAGATGGCCTTCAATTTTCAATTTGACAGATGGTTTAAGTGGTCAGACTTTTGACTGATAGAAATGCTGAGCAAGGCATCACAAGCTTTCATAATTTCATGATTAAGTGAGTGAGTGAGTATGGTTTTACGCCGCTTTTAGCAATATTCCAGCAATATCACGGCGGGGGACACCAGAAATGGGCTTCACACATTGTACCCATGTCGGAAATCGAACCCGGGTCTTCGGCATGACGAGCGAACGCTTTAACCACTAGGCTACCCGACCGCCCCATTTCATGATTAAGAAGTAGTAAGGGTTATTCCTACTTAAAGTATCAATTATTATGACCAATGAAAGGCTCTCATGAAGTTTTGTGTCAATCTGAGAATGTACAATACAAATATTGTCCTGTTTTCGATGCCATGCCTTTATAATTGCTCATGAAACGATGATATTATATGTTGTATTAATGTCTTATGTTGGCAATGTTGTCTTGTTTTTTCAACAAAAGGTAAGTAACGGGAAGTTGTTTTCAATATGCTTCAACATTGGTAAAGGGTCAGACATTGCATGCTTGTGACAGTTGTCCTTGTGTCTCGGGGATGGGGGCTGAAGTTTCAGGCAGTATTGCCCCAAAACCTAGCGGGTAGCCAGGTGCGCGGAAGCAATGCCCAATTTTTGAAAAGTACTGGTTTAACTTTGAAGTTTTACTGCAGTAACTCATACTGACAGATGCACAGAAGTTGTCTTAAGCTTTAACCATGTTTGAACAAATATATTTTGCAGCATTTTTATGTTTTTATTATTAAAGGCGTCACATTTGCTACATGTTCCAACATTTAGAAATTATACTTTTGTCATTTTATTATTAAATTTCTTGGGTCCAAGTCATTGACTTATATATAGCCTTTTGAGTAAAAATCACTGGAATAGGGATGGGAGCTCAGAGTCATGATTGTCCAAGGGTTAATTGCTTTCCCCTCTTATACCCTGCTCCTGCCCAGAGATCTGCCACAGTGGGACTGAGAACAGCCCTGAACACTGCCTCTGCAACAAAAAGAATGCTGCTCCCCTGTCTACTCTTTGTGGGATGAGCATCTAGGACAATAATTTCCTGATTTTGGTGGATCACTGTGAGAGGCTGTGCGAGACATGCTCCAAAGCTTTGAGTGCTGTCTCATGCATAACTTGTGACCTTGGCGTGGGTTTTGGTGGCCTGATCATTAAATAATGAAGAGGCCTACCATGGTTGACGAAGGAGTCAGCATGTGAATTCGCAATCCCAGTTAGACAAAGCCAACTAGTGAAGCCGGCGGGTAGCAGTGATCTCCACGAGAGCTGCCCTGAGGTGATTCCTCATGTGGTATATTTGTCTCTGCTGAAAGTCTACCACTGTATGTAAGTGGTCTGGACGATTAACGTTGATCTCAGCAAGGTCCTGTTCCATGGCCCAGGATGAGGAGGCCAGAGCCGTCAAGGGATTAAGTGAGCACCTGACCTCAGACTCGATAAAGGCAAACCGAGTATCTGGTACCTTAAGAGTGGTCAGCTTGGATGACCTGGTCATCCTCTGGCATCCACCTGGTCAGCTACTTCAAAGGTGTGGATAGGAAAGTCATCCTTCTTAACCCTGGGTGCCTTGAGCACTGGAATAAGGGTTAATCTGGAGAAATCCTCATCCAATGGCCTGACCATATCCCTGAGCATGGGATCAGGTGGCAGAGATGTTGGATGGGACCAAATGGAGTACTTTTTGTCAACTCCGGCGCCAGGGGATGGTGCTAATGCAGTCAACCGGTCTCCATCCACTCCGGCATCTTGGCAAAGCCGAGATGTGTGTCCCATTCATCAGGAGAGTCAAAACCCTAAGCCAAAGGCCTTCTGATGGCTCTCAGTGATAGTGTTGCACACGACGAACTGGTGAGTGGCTTCTGGAACGGGGCTTAGATCGTGATGATCTTGATGAGAGCTTTGCGATGCCTGGTGATGCAAATCCATGAGATGATATCCAAGCAAGCGATGGTGTTTCCAAACCTACTAAAGGCATAGCTGTCAACGTTAAGGGTGTAGATTGTACCGCAGGAGTCTGATGAATGGCAGGTGTAAGTAAAGTGGGACCACAGGTGCTATAGGAGTCGCAGACGCTTGGGTGGACCGAGGCGCTGGCAGTATGTAAGTCACCAAAGACACTGGCATGGTTGGCTGGTACACAGGTTCAGGTGCTAGATACAGGTGTGTCATCATTGCTGCCACATGGACTTCATGAAGTTTTGCATCTACACTGTGTCCATAAGGTGCACTAATATGGGAAACACTGACAGGAGACGAGGAGGCGCAGTTTTTAACTGGGCATGGGCAGTGGTCAGCGTGGGTGTAGAAGGTAACCCCGATGATGCAGCCAACATTGACTGTCATCGTCGCAGCAGCCGTAATCGTCAGCAAGGTAGATGCGCTCACCTGATGCGCTCGCCTGGTAGAAGCATGGGAAGGCGTAGCTGGAACCGTCAATGGAGTGGACGGCGGCAAATGAAAGGAATGTCGACCATCCCTGGAATGCTTGGTAGAGTCCAACCTGAATTAGAGGGCTGATTCGTGGTGACTGAGGACTGTTGGAGGGAAGAATCCTGCGAGATAGACATTCTTCTAGCACGCCATAGGGACTGCTGAGCAATACACTTACTTTATAAACTGTCTGTATCTAGCAAAGTATGACAGGGAGAGAGGGGAGCAAAAGTTACATTTTAAATCCGGTGTACAAACTTGAGTATAATCCAGACACGTTGGGTGAGGATCTTTAGCAGACTTTTACCACAGCAATTCATACATGTGCAAGCATAAATTACAAATGAAAAGGTTGACGTTGTATTGGAATATGACTTGCAAAAACAGAGAGATAAACAAAATGGAATTTATTGAAACAAATAACAATCGTGAAACATTTGCAAAGCCAACTAGCGGCTAAAGGTAATTATAATATAATTAACTACCAAGTCAGCAAAACAAAGAGAAATGACTGCCTCAGAGAAAAAATAACAAGACACATTATCAAATTCAAGATGGCGTTTTGAACAACAAACACGTGAAGTAAAAAAGTTTAAACCAAAAGTTTGAGACCAAACAACATGTCTGTCTGGTGACAAGCAGGTTTGTGAAGATATGTGACTTAACCACTTCCGTTTAGTCTCATGGCAGCTGTGTAAAGGTCTGTCATCAGACTTTATTGGAACAACTTTATCTTCAACCCAGACCTTGCACAATCTAATTAAAATCAGATCTTAGTTCTCGCTTCCACTAAACAAAGATCTGAGGATATCCCGTTTGGGGTCACGTCAAAACGACCTTTCATCCAACCAATCAGAGCGTCGCTTACCAGATCATGAAAGTGACAGTCGGACTGTGATTTCTAATCATGTAACCTCGAAAACTTTAACACGGGGTATTCCGGACGATATTTACGGGTTTAATTACTGAATCCAGACAATCTAGACCATCCATTAGCCATTCCAGAATGTTCTTTTGTTCAAGTTTCAAATGTTAAATGGAGAATTTGTCAAAATATGTTTCGAAGCGTAGTGGCCTATTTGAAATTAGTCCCGTAAAGCACAGGAAAGCTGCCTTCTGATTTGCTAATGTCGACTTCTTGTCAGTCATTCCATTGGTCGGTCAAAGTTTGCACAAAGGTCGGTCTGATGTGACCCGTAATGGGGTGTTCTCAGGACTTTGTTTAGCAGTAGCGAGAACTAAGATCTGATTTTAATGAGATTGAACCTTGCATAGCTTCATTTCTGTCATAAGGTAGGCAGTAGATTCATAAAGGAGTTATGCAGTATAAGTTGAAAAATTACATACATTATACCAATAAATATGTTTTGCAATAAGAAAAGAAATGCTGTAGGTAGTTTAGCAATAACTTAATAAGCTACAAGAAACCTACATTTCCTGATGGAATACGTCTCCGTGTGGCAGAGCCAGGCCTATCCATCAGAAACACAGGAGACTCGCTCGTCAAGGACAGAGATTTGTGGGAACTCACTGAGCTATTACTGCTAACACTACTCCGCATAGAAAAGGGACTGAAACAAAAACAGCATAACCCCAAAATGCACAAAAGGAATTATTAAGCAAAAGTAAAATCAAGTTGTAAATTGTAACTGAAGCATAGCTGTCAACCCCTGGATGTCTAAATGAGTGAGAAGCCAGGGTGCAGGGGGTGCAAGCCCCGCTGGGTCCTGTGGGGGCGCAAAATTGGTTTTAAAAGATTTTAAGACCATTTTAATGGCCTTAGAGAGCATGTGAGAATTTCCCAACCTTGCGTGTGAGCGTGACATAATTGATAAATGCGTGAGACTCACGCGATATGCGTCAGAGTTGACAGGTATGCTGAAGTAAAAAATAGTTTCACAGACAAATTAGGTTGTGAGTATGGTCTTTACACCGCTTTCAGCAATATTCCAGCAATATCACAGCAGGCACAGACAAATGAAATCACAATATGTTCCTATTAACATATCACTTGAAAAAAAAAAGATTGAGATAAATTACAACATTAAGAGCAAAGTCAGTGAATTACCAGCAGGCATGTTAGAATTGTGATCCTGAGAGCATTGGCATTGTTAACTTAGCATTTTCCCTTGCAACAGGGAATAATGGCATATAAGATGCATCTTACTACTAATAATCAAATACTATCATCCAATCCTTATTACTTATGTCATCTAATGACATGCATAAGGGACTGGGTATAAAGCTTAGTGTGAGGATAGAGAATGACTGTCACACAAACCTAGCTGGCACAGAGCTTGTGGAGGACTTATTGGGGGTTGGGAGGAAAGACTTCCTCTTTTCCTTCCGCTCAGAACAGGGAGTCCTCTGACCATATGAACTTTGAGACCTTGATACAAATAAAGTATCATGAGTTTATATTATCTTAGAATAACTCAAAATAACAAACATGCTAATTAACAGATCACATTGCTAAATATGCAATATGCCTCCATAGGGATTTTGTCCCTGCACCAGTGTATCTAGCTGTCAGTTGCAAGTTGCTTTCTTCTCAAGTTATTCTTCAAAAAGCTGTTGATTATGTATAAATTTGAATACCAAAAACAAAGTTTCAAAGCGTCGAATCTCACCTGGAAATATAGTCTCAAGAGATAAAAATGTCAGCCATGTGATATCATTTGCTGTCAGCATCAATATTCAAATAGCTTCTACATCATTTGAGGAATAGTAGACATATGTGAAACAAACATTGTACTTCAATAACTTTTTTACCAATCTGTAACTATCTTTAAAAGCACCCCTGCATAAGACTGAAAATTTAGAGCCAGTATTTTTGAAAAATCAACGCAGATTGGGTATATAATTTCCAAGTAACCATTATCAAAAAAGTTAGAATGAAGTTTGTTCACTATCGCTTGATCTCTGTAAAGAAATATAAGTTTTGTATAATTTTAAAAAGCACCCCCTTTGTCAATCTTCTAAGTGCTCAGGGTGCTTCTTATGGCAAATAGTTTAATTTAATTTAATTTGAACAATATTACATAATCAATCATACAGTGATGAATGTAAGATTTGAAATTGTAAAAACCAAATTACTATTTGCTGCCAACAAAGTTTCAACTCCCAGTCTCACAGTAAATAAACATGTTGTCCAAAATGGCTGCCATTGTGTACAATATAAGGGATACAACATGAATAATCATCTTGTCCAAGATTCAGTTTTGACATTGACATGCTCTGATTGATTAAGAAATGCTACCAAAAAATACAAAACAAATATAAATAACACAGAACTAGGATTAGTTATCAACAAGATGAAATCCATGAACAGGAGTAAATTGCCATGCACTAACCCTGCCTTGACTGGAGTACTGAAGCTACTGGAGAGGTTCTTGGGCTGAACAGACTTGTCTGGTTTTACTGGTGTTCCTCGGGTCCTCATTGATGTACCAGTAGATTGTCTAGGGGACTTGGCTGGACATATTGAAAGTGTGACTGACTCAATCCAAACCCAAAACAAACAGGTGCTACACATAGCACTCTGTATCACCTTGTTTGAGTATCTATTCAGTTTAGATACTTCCCTCTCTATCCTTAGATGGCAGGAATCAACACATCTACATCTGCAGCTGCCAAGATAGCTCTTACCTGATAAGCTAGTTTCATAATAATTTTCAAATAGCTCCTTTTGTAACAATTAATAATAACTCAGTACTTTGGTTGAATGTGTGTTGTCATATCATGACAACAATGGACAAATATTGATGAGGGTGTAGTTAACAAACATTCTATATTCTATTGAAATCTTCCTGTTAACAGTTTGAAGCATGAGTCCAGTAAAATGGTATTTGGTCAAGCAAGCTCAGCTACCTATAATCCATGTGATAACACTAAACTATACAAAACATTATGCCAAAAGTTCCATCTTGGATAGTAACCAACATTCTACTGTTTAAATATTTTAATGAAATGATAGATCATCACTCATAATTGTTTTACATAAATTAAAAAGTCACACTGAATAGAATTCCAGATCCTCAACCTACCTATGCTTTCATGTGGTGTACTGGATGGAGCCACAGCCTTCATGGGTCCACATGACTTCTTTGTTGATGTTTCAGACAACTTGCTCCTATTCAAGGCAAGTGAATTCTTCTGTATCTTGCTTGGTTGCATGAGCTGTAATCTCTTCATGGGCATACCAGTTTTAGCTGGCAGGTGAGATGCAGACTTGTTTGAGATGGAAGAGCCCAAGCTGGAGTTGGAGGAGTTGGAGAGGCTTCTATGATGTTGTGTCTGTTGGTCACTGATAACTTGAGAAGCTCTCTGCAAGTTCTTGACTGTCAGTGCACTGCTGCTCCCTGGCTTCACCATGCCACTTGGTTTCTTTAGACCCGATGACCCACCTGGAGCTTGCAGTCTTGACATACGAGAAGAACTGTGGCTACCTTTACCCACTGGGGCCTAGAAACCAAATGGATATGCTCATTGTTTTATGATCAAACTTTTCTTACATCCTTAATTTGTACCCCAAATATTTCTACCTACGTGATTGATGTGTTAGTTTAATTCCAACAACGTGCCATCAGCAGTAACCATTTATGAATTGACTTGAATATTTTGTGCACTTTATGGAGGTATAAATGTAAAAAAAACAGTCTGCAAACTGTGTAAATCTGCATAGTGGATTGAAGTTAATTATATGAATGAAATATTTCAACTATATTTACTTAACAGACTGCATATTTAATGGTTAACATTAACTGAAAACAACAGCGCAAAATCAGTGATCTTATTCAGCCCAATAATGCAACACAAGCAGGAAACAGTAGTTTATTAGTGGGCACGGCCTAATTCTTTTTCGGTGAGTGAGTGAGTGAGTGAGTGAGTGAGTGAGTGAGTGTCAGCTTTATGTGGGAGGAAAGCCTGAAGTGATGCAGGTCTTTGACGTTTACCACTTCGGGTAATCCGATGAGCACAGGTATGGTGCTGACAAACCTAAAAACATAATCAGGGCGAACCAGGTTTTGAACCCACAATCATAGGTTTCTGGTGTGTCCAAGGGATGCAACTCTGCACAGTGAATTGTGGTGCCTTAGATGACTGCACCACCCATGCCCCCTTTTCGGTTTATAGAAATAAATGCCAAAGATATTGTTTGGTTAACCATTCAAATGTCACGGAATCACTTGCAATTTACAGTAAACTATGTTTATAACGAACACACTTATTAGGAACTGACTGATATAACGAAATGTCCTGGCCATTTGTATACTTTAGTCGAAATGCTTATAACACAGCGGACACGAACGGTTATAGCGCACTAAAATTATTGGTCCCTTTGAGTTCATTATAGTTAACTGTATTTATTTCAATGTAAATAAAGATATATATAATTATATCTCGTCACATGTAAATTCCTATAAATGTTTATTTGTCATACCTTAAGTTTCTGCTGCAGACTGCCTCTAACCTGGCCAACTGGTTTAGTGAAGGGGACATCACTGTTGTCAGAGGCAACACTGCCAGTCTCGGAGGCTCTGTCAGAGCCACTACTCTGGTGTCGCATCCTCTCTGATGGACCTACTAAATCTAGACTCTCAGTACTTGGGGCCTTCACCAAAACAAAAACAAAAATACATCTTAAATACACATATTTCTTTTACTTTACCATTTTGCTACTAGTCTGAAATCAAATGTATTCTAGTCTAGTACGTCGAGATCATGACAGTCCATATGCAAGATGTAAAATATAGTGGAAAAAGATGTTTAGGCGAGTATATTCTCAAAAAGTTTTGTGCACTGACTGTCAGAATTGACAATCTCAAGAACATACATTCACATCTCTCTGAAGCAAAGACGTTAACTGACAATAAAAGACCAGTTTCCACCCTTCCCGAACTAGGCTGGAATAATGGAGTTATATTTTGGCTGGACTAAAGAGTCTAAACAGTTCATAAACTGTCGTGCAGATTTCAATCGATTGAAGGATTTGCAAAGCATGTCATGATGTGTACTGCCAACTTTCCAAATCTTTTCATGTTTTTAATCAAGGTGCTGATGCGATTTGATGCACTTGACAAAGTAAGACCCCTTTTGTTACAATATAGATCTTGATTATCGGTCAGATCATCTTGACTGAGCACCTCCATTTTGCTTTAAACAAACGCAAGTGACATGAGGGGTGGAATCTGATTGTCAACAGGAGGACATAGAAGGAACATCACTCATAATAGCCACTGGTGAAGTTATGATCGAGCCAGAAATTCAAGCCTAGTTCTGTGAATCTGTTTGTTAATCTGATTAAACTAAAGAGAATTATTCTATATTGAAGCAAAATCTAAGATTAATTAAGCAAAACTAACAAACTGTAACCAAATATGCAAAATAAGATCTCATGAAGTTAACTTGTTAATAACCTTTTTAAGTAATGTGTAGCTTCTATTTCTTGGCAGTTTAGTAAGACGTGATGGCTTTTTCTCCTCTTTAACCTGTTCTTCATTTGGCTTCTTTCTGCCACCATCTGATACTATTTCTGATATTGTGTCTTCCACTGGCCTGTCTGTTTGAGGGGCACACTGACTATTCACTGGAATATTCTCACTGTTATCATAGTCTATACATGGTATAGACATGCGAATGTTAGGTGACTGTTTTCGCATTTCGTCATCCTTAATGACAAAGGTCCCTTTCCGTGTGTGGACTCTACCATTGGGACTGAAGAGCTTGCATTTGACTGGAGATTTCTCGTCTGCACTCTCCTGCTCAGGTTTCATGTTGGCAATCCTACATGCAACCATGTGTGCTTCCATAACCACTTGGGCAATTTGAGCGGGATTCAGGGGACTCATAGGCTTTATGTCTTTGACTGGAACTGTTGCGGCTACAATTCTTTCTGTGAACCCCATTGGACCAAAAAACACTTCCTCCTCATCAATATCGTCTTCATCAATGTCTTTGCTGATGCTGCTGCTATTGCAAACATAATCATAGTCATTAGTGTCAAACTTGAATACGATCTCTTACTAACTTCATACAAAATAATGAACAATAGATATAGATTATCATATGAGTGTGTGTCAGTATGACACACATACTGACACACGTGAGTGAGTGAGTGAGTGAGTGAGTGAGTATGGTTTTACGCCGCTTTTAGCAATATTCCAGCAATATCACGGCGGGGGACACCAGAAATGGGCTTCACACATTGTACCCATGTTGGGAATCGAACTCGGGTCTTCGGCGTGACGAGCGAACGCTTTAACCACTAGGCTACCCAACCGCCCCGACACACATGTGAGTGTAATAAATGTTTTATGACTATTATTTCTTAATCCTTTCAGCTCTCCTTCAGAAAAATGCACTGATGACGACTGTCATCTTAAAAAACTACTATGATCGAATGACATCAACAATCTTCAGCTACAAAGTCATTTCTTGTGCGCCGTCATTCAGACCTTACAGCAAAACAATGATGTGAACAGTGCTGTCAGGATGAAGTGAACAATTAAGGGTGAAACGATACATCAGTGCATTGTGAGTGTTCATGTGACTATACAGTACACGACATGGTTTTTTTTCTGTATCGATACCATACGATACACTTGATCAAATATATTACTACTCGTTTAATGACCTCAGCATTTTTGTCAGTCAAATATCGCAAAATGTGTTGTCATTAGCGTTTCAAGTTCACAACTTAAAATAGCCATGACAAACATGTGTCTACAGCAAGTTGTTCCTTTTGAACCTGCTCTGAAATATTCATAGCAAGAAGTTTCCACACAATTTGACGTAAATAATTATGCACATCGCGACACATATCGTATTGTGACCAATGTATCATGATATGATAAGTATCGTGGCCTTGCTGTATCATTTCACCCCTATGAACAATACACTGGTGCGCGTGAAGTGATTTTTGCACTTGTGCACATACAATTTTTATGAATTTGGTTACTTCTGACGCTGTGGGTAATAAAGATACTTAAGACTGATGTTCTCCCTGGAATGAACACAGACAATGTCAACCCTATACATACCTCACTTGTGGTGACATGGCTAAATCAAAGTCAAAAGTTTCTTCATCCAAAAGTTTGATTTCTGGAAACAAAGAGAGAAGGCTTTATCATTATCTTAACTTCAATAAACATTCTTTAAACTTTCTAAAGCTAAATCATAACCAACACAATTAAATACAATTATACATTGTACATCATATACAAAGCCCTACTCTTGATCTTATTTCGAAGAATTATTATGGATTTCAGACCTTTTGTTGCCTGCCAATAGTTGTTGTTTATAGGATAACTCTTCAAAGGAATTGTTCCTGTAATTCTTCAGGAATGGCCTTATCACAACTAGAAATTCTTACTTTGGCTGTTACTTTAAAATAAGCATACATTTCCAGTTTCTTACCAGGGCTCTCTTTCAGGTTTCTGTCAGAATTTCCTGCAACAGTCTTTGTGACATCTTTCAGAATTCTGTCCTCTAGCTCCAAAGGCTTCTGAAGAGTGTGACTCAGACGTCTTTCACTATCATCACTGCGAGCAATCTCTATCGGATCTGTTCAAGACGATGTAAGAGGAGAAAGCTACTAATACATGTTTCAAAAAATGTTGTTAAAATATATATTACATGTCAGAAACAATTAAAACGATTTTCTTTATAGTATTCCATAATAATGTTTTGACTATTACCAAGCATGTCAGAGTTAACCGGGGAAGTAATAATTGTATATCATTCAAAATCTTTAAAAAAGTATGATATTCTGCAGGTTACCATTGTTTGGAAAAACATTTTCTTTGTCTTCAATGTCTTTGTTTTTTAAGAATTCTTCAAATGGATCAGGTACAGAAAGGTCAACCAACACACCAACAGCACAGTCACTATCTGAAAATAACAGTGTTTACACTTGTTTATATATGCAACTAGGATAAAATTACCTGTAATAAGACATTTGAAATTTTTGTATAAACTGTATATTTATATACTTATCCTCTTTCACACTTTGCATATCTTTTTCTTCAATCCTATCTGGAAATGTGCTTGAACCATATTTCTAGCTTCTAAATCAAAAACTTTCACTCGAACACACCCCAGCACCTATTTGGTTATGACCAACAACTGGGTCGATTATGTGCTCCCCTGCACGGTAACCTTCCACGATCTGACCAGTCACCACGTGTGTTTTTCTGCCAACTTATTCTCTTTCATAGAGCTATAGGGATGGTCGGGTGGGCATATCGTGTGTGAGATAGGATGAGTATATATATATAAACAATTTATACTAAAATTTCCAAATTTTTAAACTTATTCTCTCAAGCTTTGCATGTTTTCCCACAGTTGGATGGTAGGCTGCAGATACCCTAGCCTGTATAGACTACAACCATGAGATATACACGAGGAAGCTGGATCTAAACAGTGTAATAAGTTTAAAACACTGCCTATTGACATCAACTCGAGAGCGTTAAAACACACAATCAACTGGTGCTGACAATCCCATAATGATACTCGAACAAAACAGCATGAGATCGTGAATACATGCTGAGCGTGTTTCATGTATGTTGTCATTCATAGAACGACCGCAAAGCTGTAAATGCATAGGCGAAACAACTGACGACTTAAATCAATCCTGGACTGGTATTGATTCTTCATAGAGGATGCCGATCTCCCAACTGTCCGGCATCTCTTTTAACACTTCGTCAAGGTTATCAAACACATTCGAGTTCATGAACCGATCCAGGATGTGAAGAGGAACGATGGACAACATCCATAGAGAGGATCTTCGATCCCAAACCCTACATCCCAAATACCCAAGGCAGAGGCGAGCGGAATAAAGGTTCGGGACACCATTCTATTTTTAGGAACAGCTGCACCTTACGGCGACTTCGAAGTTGTAGTCTAAAAAGTACAGACGAGGTAAGGTAAACCACCTTCCAATAGGGACTCGGTCTGGAAAATCCAAACAATAAAAAAATCACTCGGCACGAAAGTCAACATTTAAAGATTTATTACGTACATACAATCATAAGACAAGGATCATGTGTGTATTTCTCTATCTGAGTTTGCTGGGTTGTGACAGTTGTTGCGGCAAAACCAAAGGGACAAACTTGTGGAGACCATGGACATCAGTGACTGAGATGTCGTGGAGGAAGTGAGAGGCAAAAACTGTTAAAAACCTGCGTCCAACTTCCAGAAGCAACCTTCCATGAACATGGGGAGGGAGCAATTACTGAGTAAGGCCATTGTGGCAGCAACCACTCGAGTCTTGTGAGGGTTTGACGATGTAGGTGGAGGCAGCCCAGCTTTGGTTGGTTTTGGTTTGTTGTTTAAGGCCGCACTCAGCAATATTCCAGCTATATGACGGCGGTCTGTAAATCATCGAGTCTGGACCAGACAATCCAGTGATTAATATCATGAGCATCGATCCACGCAATTGGGATCGATGACATGCATCAACCAAGTCAACGAGCCTGATTACCCGATTGCCTTTTACGACAAGCATAGTCACCTTTTACGGCAAGCATGGGTTGCTGAAGACCTATTCTACCCCGGAATCTTCACGGGAGGCAGCCCAGCAAATGTATACACCCGAAGTATGATGGAGCAAAGTCAAAAAGAGAGTGTGGTACAGGAAGTTTCCGAGATGGATGCAGTTGACATTGGAAGAGTCTCTTCAGTGAGCGTCTTTATCCACGGCGTTTCTTGGAGCGTCAGAAAAACGTTGCAGCGCCCTCACTGGACATAGGGGCAGAATTAGGACGGATCCGTCAGGCTGTCCTGGGAGTTGATTTTTGGCTGTGAAGTCCCAGCACAGTCTTCGATGAACAGATCCCTGTACTCCTTGTTGCTCAAACCGGACACTTACACATGCTGCTGTAGCTGGAGCCAGTAGGAAGACCGTCTAATAAGTGAGGTTATAATACGCTGGAGTGGTTCAAAAGGCCTCTCAGTAGTGTTAGTACGACGTTCAGCTCACGTTCACGCCTAAACTTGGCCTTTCTGTCTTCCAGCTGGAAAGAGCAAAGTAAAGTTTGGAGTTCCAGGATCTGTGTCATTTTCCGATCTTCTGGAACTTCCAAGACACATTTGAGGGCCACAAGGTAGGTCGTGATAGTGTGGCCATTCAGACGCGCAAGAATAGAAGAATTTCTGCCAAGAATTCGGGAGACGCAGAGGTGGGGTCCTGGCATTTTTCCTTGCAATAACTTTCGAAGGAGCGCCACTTGTCGCGTACAGACCCCTGGTTGACGGTCTATGCGCTAGGGTAATTGCCCTCGACACTCTAGCCGAGTAGCCTAAGGCACATTAAGGCCTGTCTGGAGCCTGATGGGGTCATTTGCTGTGCGGATGGATCAGGAAATTCAGCCAGTCTGGGAATTGGAATGGGTAAGAGGAAGCTATTTCCCTGTGATCAACAAACCAACCACTCACCTGCCACCAGTGTGAGACCAAAGTCAGATTGATGCCCTGTGTCGAAAAGGCGTACACATTAAGTTCTTTCCAGGAGGCGCTGGATGCGTCGACTGCCTAAGCCTGAGGGTCCGGTACCAGCGATATGAAGGTTCGGACCCAGTAGTTCTGGCTTTTTGCAAACAGGTCTATGTTGGGGTGGCCAAGGTGCTGACAGACAAGAGCGAAGGCGTCTGGGTGGAGCTACCTTGTCCGATCCAGAGAGGGCATCTGCAAGGATGTTGCGACAGCCCGGGATGTGTTGGACCTGAAAGACGTTCGATTCCACCTTCCACCATCAGAGATGGAGTTTGAGACGGTCCAAGATGGCAATTGATACAGACTGGTCTTGGCGCCTGATGTAGGGAGCAAGGAAAATCTGTATTGGGCACAGTTGGAGTCTCCCTCTGGAGGTCGGAAACCTAAGAGAAACCTAAGAGAAACCTAAGAGCGCCTGCCACTGGTGCAGAGTGCGTGATTGGTGGAGTGCAGAGAGTAGGTGGAGTTGTATTCGGTGCCACCTGTCAGTCCTTTGGAGTGGTCACGTCGCTAGGAAGATCTTGAAGACTTCCCTTTTCCTTGGTTCCTGCCACAAAAAATGGAGGAGTCACGTCCACGTGGCTTAAGAGAGTTCCGCCTGGGTTGGCAGTTGCCCTACCTGGAGGCTTCAAAGGAGGCAGAGGCGTGAGCCAGGGCCATGAGGGCAGTCTCGTCACTGGCAAAGCCTGATACCCAAGTGTGAGTGGCAGAGGGAGGTGGACGACCAGGGTTGGCAGAGTAGGTCCCTCTTGAAATCCAGATCCAAATCCGAGAGAGCCAAGTAGCTGAGACGGTGCTTGGTGGTAGTCTCTATGAGTGCAGAGCGCATACGGGTACACATATGATCGATATGGCGCTGTAAGTAAGCCAAAACAGTGGTGAGATGGTCCAGGTTGGGATTGTCTTCCAATAATTCATGTATGATAGCTCTGGAGATGGAAGCCATGACAGATAGCTTTAAAGAGCACCTAAGTTCTGTCTCCACATTGGCCAACTTGTTGTCAGGGACACGGATAGAGGTGGAATGGTTCGAACCTGTCATGTGATGAAGGTCCTCGTCTAGAGAGTGGACATGATCCACAAGGTCTGAGAGTGGATGGGAAAGTCCTCCTTCCTGTACTTAGGAGCCTTGAATGAGGAAAAATCATCATCCAAGGTAGCAATCATGTCCTTGATCATTTGGTCAGGTGGGACAGATGTAGGGTCTGACCGATAGTGTCTTTTTTGTCAACGCCTGACCCCGTGGAAGGTGCCACCAACTGCAACCTGGTTCAGCCCTAGGTGGGAGTCGACCTCTGATAGACCCTTTGTACGCAGGGACAAAGGAGCTCTATGGTGAATCTGATCTATACTCCCTAGAGGGCCGAAATGGAGAACAGTGTCTAGATTGGGAAGAGGCACCTGGTGAGATGGAACCGTGATATAGGGTTGACCGAATTGTTGAGGCACCACCTAAATCCAGGCTAGTCATGTGTACAGGCGTCTGTAGAGGTTCTTGTAGAGACGCAAGAAGAGGCGCCTGTGGAGATGCCTGTATAGTTGCTGATAGAGGAGCGTGTATAGGCACTGGAAACCTTGGCATGTTCTGTTGCAGCAACTGCATGTAGTGGGACCATGCAGGATCCATATAAGGCACGGGGATGTCTGGGGAGGCATCTGTTGGAGGGCAAGGCTTCCAAATCCCAGAGGTGCCTAAAGCGAAGACAGCATTGGCACCGTGGATAGGTGGTAAGTTTGTGGGATAGACTCACTCGGGTTGGTAGGCGCCACACATTGTAACAGGGGCAGCTGTGTAACTCAGGGTCGTAGGGGTCACATTAGCGCCTGTGAGGAGACCACAACGGACGCGGTAGACATTGAACCTGACGATGAGACATGGGTGGTTGTAAACATTGTAATGTTGCAGCAGGCTCAGAACCGGGCTAAGAAGCTTTTGGGTCAACGGTGTCTCCAGGCCTGCTGAGACTGCTGTTTCCTTGAAGCTTGGTTGTATTTTGCGAAAGTTGTGGGGAATAGTGCGAGACGTTTTTTACATTTGGAAGTCTGGGTGCACATGAAAGTGCAATTGCTACAACTTGGCATGTATCTGCAATAATAGCAGAGTGTAAACAAAATGCATCCCCGACCGATTATGTATGCTATAATCGTTTGACCCAGCCATGTGGGTTTATGATACACAAGTTTACGTATACCATGGTATACATCACAAAACACCACCACTTTAATAAACAATATTATTGCAAAGACATGTCAACAAATAAAGTACCAGGCAATGAATACAGAACGAATGCCACAAAAATACATGACCAAAAACAATATTACAGTCACTTGAAACAACAAAACACCTGTGATTTCCGTGGTGAATGCCATCACCAGCCGATAAATATTCATGCTATGGCGTAAATCATATGAGAACACAAACCGTATGCACAATATAGTTGACAAGAAAAAACACATAAAGGATTCTATAAACAACGTTGTGAGTTCAACACATAGGTATTCCTTCTTTGAGTGACAGCAGTATTGTGCTGATCTGTGACATCACCCCTTCAGTGGTCACAGTGTGATAGGGTTTGCCACTCAGCTAGTTAAAACAATTTCTTCTTCAGCAAGACTCCACACAGCTCTTTCTCTCTGTCAAGAACAAGCAATAAATGCATCAAGGAGTAATGCAGGATAAGTTAAAAAACATTTATATTCTTTGTACCTGCCATTCTTTGAATGTGGTTCACAGCTAACACACACAAGTGTTTCACGCCTTGGTTTTCAAGTTGTTTTGTTGTTGATTCCACTTCAGCTTCATATAACTTTAAGAACTGGAATGTAAAATGTCAAAACTAATATGGAGCAAAAGATGATATTTCATTTGTACACTGATTCTGAAATCATTGCACCAATTGGTTATCCCAGTTCAATTGACAAGAAATAGAATATGTAGCACTGAAATATAATAAGCCCAAATATAAAAAAATATTGTTTCAGCATGTTCAGGTTGCAAAGAACAGATATGGGTTGGTAGGTTTTCTTTAATTTTTGTTTTTGTTTTACACAATGGTGTGTTTAGAACTGATGTTAATTGCACTGTTTCTCAAATTTAGCAGTCAAAATGGTGCAGCAGTGATACATGTATGTGGAAACATCCGGGGATGGGGGTCCTAAATGTTAAAAATGAGGTTCTTGACAGCATTTTAGAGTTGTGATAAAAATATTTGGGTCGCAACTCACAGTGCAGATCACCATATAGAGATTCTCGGAACAATAGCTCCTGGCATGAAGATACAATTTGTGACAGGCAGAGAAACTGTCATAAGTCCACTCATCAATGTCTAGTCTATTCTTGTGGTGAGTAAAATTTCAGGATTACATGTGTCCTCACTATTCAAGGTCAATTTCTACTGCTGTGCAACTCAGCTGAATGTATGACCTTGTTCCCTGCGCCCCTGACACTATGATGTTTGTTTGTTTGTTTGTTTGTTGTTCAACGCAGCACTTAGCAATATTTTCAGCTATATGACAGCGGTTTGCAAATAATCAAGTCTGGGCCAGACAATCCAGTGATGTTACATGTTACAATAACACTGTTCAAGCAGGTGGCACGATTTTTTCACATCTGTCTACAACTGAAAATGTTGAGAAATTAAGCATTTGAAGGGTTTTTAATCAGTTCATTGACAATGTTTATCTTTAACAAGCCTTGTTTGTTGATTAATATTTCTACTGTATACTGAACCAAATAGAGTAGTGCCTTTTCATCTGAAATTTGTTATCAATATCCTTTCAAATATTTGGAGCACGTTTAGAATACAGTACCACAGCGTCTCGTGAGGTCGATCTCTGCCGTAGGTCACGTGTTTCAAAGACAAGCAAACCGTTTTTGTGAGAATCTGTCTGGTGCAAACTCGCGACCTTCGGATTGTTAGCCGAGAGCTAACCAACTGAGCTACGCCCACACTGTGAAGTTTAGTGCAAGTTTACCTGGTCATTCCTACTACTATACAGAACTGAACGAAAAGGGTCGATTTGTTTCGCCGGTGTGACTGGCAACAAAATACTACAAATTACGTCAAAGGGTATTGTGACATGTTTGTACCTTTAGAATACAGTACCACAAACTTTTCCAACATGTGACCCTATGACGTAATTTGTAGTATTTTGTTGCCATTCACACCTGAAAACAATGCCCTGTGACTTCAGGGTTCATCGAGTGTGCATAAGCTCCTCCCAGTGATCTATCATCTCCACATGCAATGTCTTTGAATACTCCCAGTGATGTTGAAAGTTTTGAATATTTGTTTACTGAATAAAGCCTGCGGGTGCGCATTTTATATAGTTTATGAGAGTACACATGTGCCATTATTATTAAGATATTTTTTAATTCAAGTGGCTAAAATGATGATAAATGGGAACTAATATACATATATTATTTTTTCGGTTCATAAATTTTCATTCTTATGGACATGAATGCAGTTTATTAGGTATATTATATTGGTGCTGAACACATCCAAATGTCGCCAGTGTTAGTGACTATTGAATTACCCCGACCTCTATCCTTAGCCCTTGGATCGCCTTTATGTTGCAGCCATGATATAGTGGTGTTAGGGTGTTATTACATAAACCACAGGCTACGGGTTGTGAGGTACAATCTGTTTATTCCAGCGTAGTGGAAGAATCAATCACACCTTTATGGTCATTAGGGTTAGGTACCTGTTTAGTGGCTATTATTGATTTCTATGGCTGCTCCTAATATTCTTCACACAAAAACATAGAGAAAAAAAGGATGAAATGGTTTAGTGTCAAATATTTGGGCTGTTGAAAACTGTCTTGGAACATTCACACAAGCCACTTTCACCGGCTACATTTATTCAGTACTGAATCATAAGCAAACTCACCCTTGTGTCGTTACTAGCCATGCTTATGCCGCCCTCGTTCCTTACAATTATCCACATTATCCTTACAGTGTTTCCTACCACACTTTTCTGTTACAAAATCATCCGAAGAATTATTAAATCCCATGTCATTTAGTGTACCTGAGAGTTGACGCCAAGAGCTGTTTTCAGTTCTCGCCATATCGGCTCCTTCCTTACCACTCGGTATCATGTAGATTACGGAATGGGACAAGTGTGCCAAATGGCATCGGGATCACTCGTAAGTGTCCATAGGCTAAAGTCACTAGACACTATGCCTACCCGTAACCTTCGTAAGGGTTCGTCACTTATTCACCCTTTTCGTTCAGTTCCGTAACGGGTAGACCGGGTAAATTTGCACTTTGTTTCACAGTTTGGACTTAGTTCAGTTGGTTAGCTGTCGGGCTAACAATACGAGGTTCGCGACTTTGCGTCTGACGGATTCTCACAAACACTGGTTGCATGTCTTTGAGACATGTGACTCACGGCAGAGATCGTCCTCACAAGAAGTTGTGGTACTGTATTTTAAAGGTGCTCCAAATTTTGTGGTACTGAATTCTCAAGGTAGGTTAAATATCTCATTCAAATCAGATCTGGAATGATTTGATTTAATGACAATGTTTTTACATAAAACATGAATCTGAATCATTATTTGATTTTCATTTGGCTCCATGGTTGTTAAATTGAACTAACTCCTGAATTAAACTGATAGGGTCAGAGTCCAAGACACTCGCTCATGAGATATACACTGAACAGGAATTCTTACGATACTAGTGGCAACCAAGTATACTGGCTACCCAAAGAGAGAAGCTGGATAGAAAAAGATATCAACATAAAACTCTGGGTACAAGTCAAGGTACCAAGGTCGGGTATATAACACAATTAGCCTGAATTATTACTTTGGCAATGAAGAAAACAACAAAAAGAGCCAGATAGGCAGTTACATGGGAAAAATAAATACCCTTAACCTAAATTTATGTAATGTAGGCCTATGTATAAATGACATGCGTCCATGTATATGCAACTGATAAATTATTTGTCTGGTGACAGAAATGTTTTAGTGTTCAGCTAGGCTAGGTGTCTGGCATGTGTACCTTACTGATAATACAGACTGCAAAAAAAACAAACGAGTATCATATTGTAACTGCCCTTACATACTCAATTACTTCAAGCATATCTATATGCAGCTAAGATATTATATTATTCATGAACATTTTGACCGTTTCACCTCGCCTGTTGTCAGTCCAGCCAACATGACAGGCCTGTGGATGAATCATACAAATGTAAGGCATTGACGTATCGTAAAAATACACAAGATCACAGCTTGATTTACTGACTGAAACTAAACTCATAAAGTGATAATGCTTTAAAATCTATAAAAATGCTTACATTTGCCCAATTCAACATTCATATTTCGCTCGGTTGTTCAAACTGTCACATGGGTAACATTCTAAGCTTTCATTGGTCAATTTGGATTCAAGCCAACAATCGTTATTCTGTTTATATCTACGACATACTGAGATATATAGAATTAAACAGGTTCCTCCCCTAAATAATGTTAAACCTTTTTTGTTAGGTTGAATCTTCATATATTTAATAATAAACTGGTAAATGATAAATATGTTTCTGACAGCAGTATCGTAAATGAATACGTCTCTCAAAATACTCCCAAGATGGCGGTGATTATCGATGAACCAACCTTGTTTGACAACTTTCTGCATTATGGTTTATTCGCTGGGGCCATTTTTCAGCTTATTTGTATTTTTGCAGTTGTCTTAGTGCCTAAGAGTCAACAAGAAGAGGTTTGTCTTTTGTTTTGCTCTTTGGTATCGTTGCTTTTCGTATTTGCGTTTTGACAATCAATGATAAGGTCGATAATGTCGACGTTGCAATGCCAGTATAAACTTTATAAGAGTCTAAAAATATCGCACACTGATTGACCTTTACCAAGTAGTCTGGTGGTGAATTTGGGAAATTTGTTTTGTGTCATTATGTATGAACGCTTGGGAACGTAATGTTAAACGATTTAGTACACAGGCTTTGAATTGATTTTAATAGCCATGATAGTAGGTTGGAATGACTTCACTGTAAGTAAGAAAGCCCGGAGTAGTGCACTTTACTGGGGTCACTTTTTCGAATTTTAATATTAGTGCCGCATGGAGGATCCAACTCCAGTCAGCTTGAACATGTTGACCCGTGAAGATCCGGGGTAGAATAGCTCTTCAGCAACCCATGCTTGCTGTAAATGGCAACTATGCTTGTTGTAAGAGGCGACTAATGGGATCGGGTGGTCAGGCTCGCTGGCTTGGTTGATGCAAAAAATAACCGCCCATTTAAGAAGTCATCCGCTCCTGATTGTTAACCTTTATGTGTGTGAGCAGTAGGCATTTCTTCTGCGAAACTTGATAAAATATGTCAGGATCGTGAAAGTATGTTTGATTGTCAAGTGGTGCCTACACCCTTTAAGGATCGTTATGGGGTGTTTGATTGTCAAGTGGTTCCTAAACCCTTTAAGGATCGATATGGGGTGTTTGATTGTCAAGTGGTGCCTACACCCTATAAGGATCGTTATGGGGTGTTTGATTGTCAAGTGGTTCCTACACCCTTTAAGGATCGTTATGGGGTGTTTGATTGTCAAGTGGTGCCTAAACCCTATAAGGATCGTTATTGGGTGTTTGATTGTCAAATGGTGCCTAAACCTTATAAGGATCATTAAGGGGTGTTTGATTGTCAAGTGGTGCCTGACCCTGTCAGGATCGTGAAGTGCCTAAACCCTATAAAGATCGCGAATCGGTGTTTGATTATAAAGTGGTGCCTTGCCCCACAAGGATCATTAAGGGTTGTTTGGAAAGGTAATCCAAGTGCTAAGTGTTGCTTGATGTTCCTCCCAGCCTAGGTGCGGGTCGTACAAGTAACTGAGCATGATGTGCAGTTTTACAAATACATTACAGTGGCAACGAGGATAAAAACTTCAAACTACGGAAATATTACGTGCAAGGATGAATTTTACAATTGGCCTTTGCTGATACACATTTTTATTCAGCAGTGTTTTTTTTTGTGTTTTTTTTGCAAATGATAGTGGGACTGCTCGTGATCATCACAATGGCGGGCGTCATCGGTGAAGTTGGACAATTTGACGAAAATAAGGAAGAATGGTCATCGTATGCAGAAAGAGTGATTCTGTTCTTTGATGCATACGAAATTCCAAACGAAAGACGAGTGCCCGGATTTATTTCCATGCTCGGCGGCAGAACATATGAGTGCTAAAATCTTTACTTTTGCCTGCGAGACCGCAAGACCACCGATTGGATTACTTAGTGACACGTCTACAGAATCACTTCATGCCCAGACCACTAGTCATTGCAGAAAGATACAGATTTCACAAACGGATGCAAAGTGAAAGTGAAACAGTTGCGCAATATTTGGTTGCATTGAAGGGACTTTCGCGAAACTGTGAGTTTGGCGTTACTTTAAATGAGAGGCTTCGGGACCAACTTGTGCTTGGTTTGAGAACTATTCCGATTCAAAGGAAATTGTTAGCAGAAAATGACCTGACTGTTGACCAGGCATTGGCAATTGCAAATTCGATGGAATTAGCGGCCAAGGACTGTGATGAGCTTAGCCGAGGCGGCGACAAGAGACACGGATCCACCGAAGTGTTTTCGTTCAACAGCAAACCTAGGATTGGAAATACTAAGTTCTGTTATCGTTGCGGTAACTCATTTCACCTTGCCAACAATTGCAGATTTAAGGATACAGTGTGTTCGTTCTGTGGCAAACGAGGCCATCTGCAGGCAGTTTGTCGGGTGAAGAGTTTGGGTCGTGACCCAGGATCAAGTTCAAGGTCAACTGGAAATGGAAATGTAAACAATGGCGGTAAGAAACCAAATTCTCGCATAAATGCCATTGACATAACTGACAATGATAATGATTTCATTGTCGATGATATATCAGAGTGTTTGAATCAGATGTTTGCCATGCCCGGAAGTTCTGGGGTTATGTGGGTCACAGTCAAAATAAATGGTACTGACCTAAAAATGGAACGGGATACTGGTTCGCGAAATTCCATCATTACTGAAGAAGTGTACAAGGATCGTTTTAACGGATGTCACTTGGTCGAGGCCACAGTACCTTTGAAACTTACACAGGTGAGCGTGTAACAAACTTTGGCATACTGAAAGTTGATGTTGCAAATGGAAATGATGTGAACAAGTTGGGTTTACATGTTGTAAAAGGGGAAGTGCCCCCTCTGCTAGGTACAGCCTGGCTACCATATGTGGACATTGATTGGAAAAGGCTAGGTGATGACATACACATGTGTAGCAAATTCAAGTCAGGAAAAGTTGGAAGAGATACTTGTGAAGTACTGTGATGTTTTCTCAGAAGAAATTGGTACAATAAAAGGTATTAAAGCTCACCTGTCTGTCAAAGAGGGAGTTTCTCCCAGATTCATGAAATCAAGGCCTGTACCTTATGCTTTACAGGACAGGGTAAAGGAACAGATTACAGGAATGGAGAAGAATGGGGTATTGTTTAAAGTGGATCACAGTGAGTTGGCAACTCCGATTGTACCTGTTATGAAAGGGGATCTAACAGTGAGAATTTGTGGTGACTTGAAGTCTACAGTGAACTCAGTGTTGAATGTTAACAAGTACCCATTGCACAAAATAGAAGATTTGTTTGCTACTCTGGCTGGTGGAAGAACATTTTCGAAAATAGACTTAGCACATGCATATCAACAGATGGAAGTTGATACAGATTGTCAGAAATATTTGACAATTAACACACCAAAGGGACTTTACAGGTATACCCGTCTTGCTTTTGGCATCGCCTCTGCACTAGCCATATTTCATATGGACCAGATATTGCAAAGCTTGGACAAAGTAGTGTGTCATCAAGATGACATTTTAGTAACCGGATCAAGTGAGAAAGAACATTTCAGAAATCTAGAGGCAGTGTTGAAAAGGTTGCAGGAATATGGTTTGAGAGTGAAGAGGGGAAAGTGCAAGTTTTTTGTCGATTCAGTCAAGTATCTAGGTCATGTGATAGATAGTGAAGGACTTCACACGGCTAAGGATAAAGTACAGGCCTTAACTGATGCTCCAAGACCAGAGAATATATCGCAACTACGTTCATTTTTGGGTGCTGTGAACTATTATGGGCGTTTTTTGGAGCATTTATCTACGGTACTACATCCACTAAATGACTTACTGAGGAAAGATAAGAAGTGGGCATGGTCTTTCCAGTGTGAAGAAGCTTTCAAGAAATGCAAGTGCATGATTACCAGCTCGGATGTGGTATGTCATTACGATCCTTCACTACCCATACGCCTTGCATGTGATACTTCGTCATATGGTGTTGGAGCAGTACTATCACATGTTACAAGGGACGGTTCGGAAAGGCCCATTGCATTTGCTTCCCGCACACTAAGAAAGCTGAGAGTGGATATTCTCAAATTGACAAAGAAGCTTTGGGGATTATTTTTGGTGTAAAACGGTTTCACCAGTACATTTATCATGTTTATGGCAGACATTTCACATTAATCACAGATCATCACCCACTGACTGTTTTGTTTGGAGCTGGAAGACCAGTGCCTACAATTGCGGCGGTCATCCTAAGTGCATATGATTATGAGATTGAGTATAAGGCATCAGAGAAGCATGCAAATGCTGATGTGTTATCCAGACTTCCACTTGTCAATGTTACCAGGGAGCAGAAAGAATCACCAGATGACGTGGAGATGTTTTACAACCGACAGTTTGAGCAACTGCATGTACCAGTTACTACTGCTGACGTTAGAAGCGAAACAAGACGTGATCCTCTACTGTCGCAAGTGTACACAGCAGTGATGAATGGATGGACAAGAGAGCATGAGTAAGATTTCATGATGAAAGCATATCACAGTCGAAGGTTTGAACTCACTGTACATATGGGCTGTGTGATGTGGGGAATGAGAGTAGTAATTCCCTTTAAACTGTGACAGACTGTGTTGCAAAAATTACACACAGGACATTTTGGAGTTGTGAAAATGAAATCCTGTAGCAAGAAGTTACATTTGGTGGCCTGGGATAGACGGTGAAATAGAGGGAATTGCCAAGACATGTTCAACATGCCAGAACACTCACAACAATCCACAGTTAGCCCCTGTACACCCATGGGCTTGGCCGTCACGTCCATGGACCCGCATTCATCTTGACTTTGCAGGGCCATTTATCATGTTTATGGGTCACATGTTTTTGTCAATTGTAGATGCATTCTCAAAATGGCCAGAAATTGTAGAAATTCTACAACATCTAGTGCTACAGTGAAGAAAGTACGAAAGCTGTGTGCACAGTTCAGTTTGCCACATCAAGTGGTTACAGATAATGGACCGCAAATTGTGTCAGAAGAGTTCAAAGCATTTTTGAAATGCACTGATGCCTAAACATATTTTGTCAGCTCCATATCATCCGGCTACAAG